GCAGCGAGACCATCTGAAGTGCAAATTGGGTATCCATCGAACCATTGTTTGTCTGCTTTCCGGCATGCGAGTACTGGCTTTCTTTGCGGTAGTTTTAGTCCGCGACTATCTCCAGGCACTGTTTGCCCATTGAATTTTACTGTTTCATGTTGCCATTTTCCTGTATTTGATGGCAGTGCGTTGGTGGTTTTTTGTTGATTTTTTATCGCCTGTAATTCTGTAATATTTTATGGATACTTCTTGAAGATTCAAGGGGTATTTGCTTGGTATTTAGCGGATACATCCGGCATTGGAAGCCTGTCGAGTACGTCTAATTGCAAACCACAACACAAGACAGTCAGACAACTTTGTCGTTGGCTGAAAGCCGTTGCTAAGTTGTTGCCACAGTCACTTCTACTTACATTCCCACTGGCACGCTCCGCCCCGCCCCGCCCCGCCCCACTCCCTGTGGCAACAGCTACAGGCCCAACTTCCAAGTGAAATGCCTTAAGTCGGCCAAACAGAGATAGACTCCCAATGCCCCTGCCACTGCGACATTCTCCTCCCAGACACGGTGACAGAGACGGAGACAGAGACGGAGACAGCGACGGAGGCAGCGACGGAGACACATATTCGCACACATTCCGAGGACCTGTGTACACAGCTGCGGCTCATTTGATCGCTGGGCTTGGCCAATTGGCGCTGGAGAGGACTTTGTGGCCAAATATTTGCCAAAATGTTTGCTAATTTGACTGGAGCTCCCCCTTGCCACACGCCGCGCGTGTGTTTGTGTGTGTCCCGGGCGAAAAGTTGCCAAGACGTGAAGCAAAGTCCTGGTCTTTCCTTGGATCGACATAATTAAAACCGAAACGGAGGCCGCAGATGGAGAAGGAGTGCGAGCCTGAGTTGGGCACGAAATCGTTGCCTACTTATGCGGGCCCGGCACTCCAATCAACCAATCAATATCCGCCCAAAGAACCCTAAATGGCCAACCAATGGCACTGCCACTAGCTAAATTTGATTTTTGACAGCCCTGGCCACTATTCGAAGACTATAGAAAAGGTGTATATGTTTTTGCCAGCTAGGAAATTGCATTCTTAATTCCATAAATTCCATCCCACAGCGTGAACAGGTATGAGCAGAAATAGTCACATGCCAGCATGTAAAAACGTTTTGGACTTCAATTTCTGAAGGCCCAAAATGTATCTGTATATTCATTTATTTGAGAAAAGCCAAAACTGAGGGCTGAGGAGTGCCCAAGGGCCGGTCCGACTCGTGCCTCTGGAGGATGGAGAGGTTTATCTGCAAATTGAATTGAATAATTCTTTGTGGAGAATTATTTATCTCTATTTCGTTGAAATCAGCTATGGACTTGGACTGTTGCAGTTGTGTTTCGGTTTTAATTGAATCCGCTTTACTGGGCTTTTCTGGAACCCGAATTCTGTGCCCCAAGTGCTGGCCACCTCGCAGGGGAATGGTCTGGCTGGGACTGAATAAGCCACCTTAAGGGCTGGACCTGGAGTTGGGTGCGGGTTCGAGTTCGAGTTTAAGTGTGAAGAAGTTTCGGTTTTATTTGGCAGCAGCCTACTGGCTCTTCAGGCTCCTCAGGCCACTGTCCTGGAATACATGTGTGTATCGATGTACGCAGTGTATGCCTCGAGCGCATAAATTTCTATTTAATGAGGGTGTGTGTGTCATGGGTATCCCTTGTGTGTGTGTGTGTGTGTGTGTGTGTGTGTGTGTGTGTGGGAGCAAGCATTTCGCTTGTCAGCCCCGAAGACTTTGAGCCTGGCCAACAAGTTTGTTCCATTTTGCAGGGCGGCTGACATTTAGAGTTATTAATACACAAAGTGTCACACGCACACAAATGCACAGGACTCACCTAGTCACGCGTATGGACACATGGACATGGCCCACACATATCCCGCATATCAATATTTATCATGGTAATGGATAACTTATTGATTTGCATGGCCAGAGAAATTGAATTTCCCTCTTTCCCGCCTAGACCACTCTCCTTCAGTGGCCATTTTTTTTTTGCCTTACACTCTCTGTCTCTAATCCCATTCGGAAAGAATAACATTTTCCCTATGCCGCCTATAATCGTTTCTCTAAGATGCTTACAAGAAAGTCAGAAGAGTATCCCCGTTCAAGCCGCATTCTTCGGATTGACCACAAAAACGGTGGCACTTGATTGAGTTTATTCCGACTGTAGGGGGATTTGCATAGCAGAAGAGACAGAAAGATTTGGCCACAACTGCGAGGCAGTGGCTGTGGGTAGGTTGTACATACAAAGTACCCGTAAATCCCCCAAAAGCCGCACCACTCTCCGTCTATCTGTGGCCGGCCCGGGGCATAAAACTCATTAAATTACAATAAATGGAATATGCCAAACACACAAGCGGTCCGACAGTCGACTCCACACCGGAAACGTACATAAGAAACGTAATAAGCGAGCCCCAAGAGCCGGAAGATGCGGCCACGTAAATAAATGAAAAATTTGAAAACTTAACAGCCAGAAAAGGCCGCGGGGCTCGAATGGACATACACTGAAAATTTGTGCAAATATTTAATTAATTGCACATTACCATGATATAAATATGAATAAATTAATTAAGTATAGCCCATTGGTGTCTTTTGATACCCAGCCAGGGGCAAGGGATATTCGATTCCAAACACTGGTTTGTCTCATTTCTTCCTCAAAGACAAACAAGTAGGGGGCGCAGGGGCGGGGCTCAATTAAATTATATTGAATATTTGATATTTAATCAAATTAAGAGTATTTCTTTGTCCATTCATGCAAAATATTCAGTCGAAAAGGCCTTTCCTCTGGCATTCCAATGTAAATATTCCATGAGACGTGTGTTTGATCGGGGATCTAATCTGACCATGGCACACTTTTAATAGACAAAAATTAATTAATCTTTTTCCCAATTTGACTTTCAAACGGAAAATATAGTAAAATGCGGACAAGCCGACGACAAGTTGTGCATTCTGGCAGCCGAGTAATTGAATTTGGATGTAATTTAATTGAGTTTAATTTCACTTCAACCCTAATTGGAACTTTAAGCAACAGTTTATAGTTTTCTTCAAATCTGAAAGAGTTTCCTGGGGATATTGGGCTGGAATTTGGCTAGAATTGGGCTGGAATTGGGCTAGAATCGGGCTAGAGTTGGGCCTAAATTTATTCATCAACATTTATTTTGTAACATGTAACATATTCCGCGAAACGCACTGTATATTTGCTGTACATACTCGTATAATATGTAAAAAGGACACCCACAAAAATTGTATATTCGTGAATGCGAGTCCCTACTTAAAAGCGACAATTGGCTGGCAACCGAAACTCTATCGTATAGCCCGATGAAATCTCAAAGTCCCCATCCTATCGCATCCCCCCCCCCCCCCAGACACAGCTGCATGCCACATAAAGTGGAAGAATTAACACAAAGGAAGTCCCGCCTGCGTGCCTTTCTGGCTTTCTGGATTTCTGTCCAACTGTGTCAATATCCGTGTGTGTGTGGAATGAGAAAAAAAAAAAACAACCAAATCATCATTTAACATTTGTGTACACAGCGAAGTGAGCACAAAGGCTGAGCTGCAAAAAAAAACTTTTATTTTTTACGAGCCACTAAAAAAAGGACATCAAAATTACATAAAAAAGAAAGCACAGCCCCAGGGAGCAGGCGGGAGTTGTGCTTCGGCAGCGTGAAAAAAAACTGCATTCACAGATACACAGGACACACAGCAACAACAACAACAGATGCGATGATGGAAATGCTGGTCCAAAAATATAAATAAATATACAGAAAATCGCTGGGGGGCCAATGAAGGCAATAAAAACTCGCCGACCCCCCAGAATCTGAAATCAAATGAAACGCACCGAAATGAGCCCCAGAGTAAACAAAAAAGGGGTGCGATACCGAATCCGAAAAATTCATATGCACATTGATATTTTACATTGCCCTAGGACGTATAATTAAGCTGAACTTAAATCGTTTTTGGTTGGTTTTAAATCTGGTTCTGGTTCTGGTTAGATTTCCATTTTCCAGCCCACTTTGCAGTTCGCAGATATTTTTGTACCGCGAATGTTCAGTTTTTACAAGCTGATATGTTCGACTGTGAAATATTAACCATTGGTGGGTTTTCCTATAATTTCCTTTGCCAGTACATACGAGTATGTATGTTAGAAGAAGAAGCCAACAAATAGGAAAAAAAACGGAATGTGTAAGTATATGATATATGATGATATGTTTATGTGCTCAAATTGGAATCTCAAGGTCGCCATTGGTAATCGTAATTAAAATAATCCTCTATTGAAAATCTGAATGTTTAGTTGCTCAAATTAGACCAAAATTTGTACAAAAACAGTCTCCGGTGAACTCCGGAGGCCATTGGCCCTCAATCGGATCGGAAACTCTTTGTAAGCCTGCTACTTGGTTTTGTGCAAGAATGTTTAGTTCTTTCGGTTAATGAAAATCTATATGTTAGCTGTATTAAATGTGCTATGATTGGGCGAAGACGGGAACTCCGGGGAACCCCGGAGTCCCTCTCCAATTCCCCTATTTGTTGCGAATGTTTTATTGCGTCTAAGTTTGGTGTGAAAAGTCTGTGGAGACGTCTAGAGCTATCATTGGGTAACCAGCTTATTGTTTTTCCGCAATTACCCCGCCACTGTGTTTACTTCTCTGTGGCTCCTGCTTCTGCTGCTGCCGTTGATGGTGTTTCATTGCCCCGGACAATGCGACATTCCCCCAACGACGGCGGCACGGAACGGAATGACGGCAACAGGAGTACGAGGAGCACCAACTGTAACAAAACTAGATTGCGCCGCCTCACAGACTGTATCGAGCTACTACCCATCGGCGCTAGTCTGAGCTGTAGAAATCCCGTGTGCAAGCCATCAGCAGGCCCCACAGCAGCAGGAGCAGGAGGCGGAGGAGGACGAGCAGGACGAGAAGGACGAGAAGGACGAGAAGGACGAGCAGGACGAGAAGGACGAGAAGGACGGGAAGAACGAGAAGGAGAAGACAGCTCGACAACATCGGGCTCGGCAGCAGGACAACGGCAGCTCGAACCATTAATGCTGGGCGCCCCTCTGTGGACAATCGCCCAGATAGAGGGGGCCGCGGTCTTAGACAGTCTCTATCGCTCCACGAGCTTTCATAGCGAGGAATGTCTACTGGACATGGAGACCGGGGAGGAGTTGGATATAGAAACGCACCGGCAGCAGCAGGAGGAGGAGCCGCAGAGGGCAAGGGAACTGGGCCAGGAGCACAGGTAGTTGGTCCATTATATACGACTAAGCAAAGAATCAAAGTACAAGTACAATCAAACAACTACAACACCAAACAATCACACAAAATCAGGAGGCAGATACTCGTACACTCCTACAGATACAGATACAGAAACAGAAACAGCGACAGCTGCAGATGTTGTTTGGGCCCTTTACGACAGGCCACCCGGGCGTATGCTTAATGTCCTGTTAAACAGCGAGGAGGAACAGCAGCAAACACACACAATAAAACCAGCAAGGATACGAAAAGCGAAAGAAGAGATAGTTTTAAGGGTCGAAGAGTGCATACCCCCTCCCAGATACTTGTCATTCGATCTTCCGCTCATCCGACCTGTTGGCAGCTCTCTCTGCTGTGAAGAAAGACCTGAAACAAGGCAAGGATGCTGCTGCTGCTGCCGATCAAGACTATACCTACACACATATTATATCTATACATACATAAGTATATGCTCTGCTTAGCAAGAGTCCATTTAATGACACATCAAATCTACTCGTAACACTCTCTTTGAGGGAGTATGCCACGAGTATTTAGAATGATTAAGCTAATGTAATGTCCAGCTCAATTGTGTCCATTAGATACACACGTACATGTGCCACCTCCTCTATCTACATCTCCACACAGGAGAGTATCTTGTCCAGCTGAAGCGTCTCTCAGCATTGTTGGCCTGCTCAAGGGTTCCAGGACCTAATTCAAGTTAAACTCGACTCGAAATCCACTCGGCAAATCTGCTCACATAAATCAAGGCCCACAGCTTCAGTGACTCTGAGGGTGAGGGTGAGGCTGTGGCTGTGGTCTCATTAGCTTGCCACTTGTTGCATGAAAGACGGAAACAACAATGCGCACTTAATATAAATAAGACAATGTGTCAAGCAAAAAGTCAAGGTTCCCATGGCTGATGGGGGAGTGGGGGGAGTGGATCTACTTGAGTACGCGACTTACCTTCCGCGGGTGCTGCAGCATCATCAGCGTTTGGGGGAAATTCGGCGAATTCCAGCGAAGCTGAACGTTGGATTGGAGTCCCCAACGAGCGATAAGTGGATTAGGTAACCACAAGTAGTGCTTAGCCCCAGCCCCCTGCCATAGCGCAGACACCGACCCCGACCCCGACACCGACACCGACACCGACTACCCGGCTTTCGAGTGGGGTCCTGGGGCCAAGTTGAAACTCAATTTGTAGGGAAATTGAGCAATTACTGCAAAGCGTTCTCCTAATTGTCTGCGTGTGTCCGTATGTGGGCTAGTGTCCGATTGATACGACAGCTAATTGTCGAGCATACATTAAAAGTTAATTGTTTCGATTGCCATTTTCTCGAATTTCCAATACGAATTTTCCCCCGCCACACACGCGATCCTGCCACTGCGAATGCAGTGCCACATTGCATATGGCATTCCTCTCAAGGACGGACGGACGAACGGACGAACGGACGAACGGACAGGTTCATTAAAATCTTAACGTTAGAATGCCCCGCGGACTTATCTACGGCTTCTACGGAGTACAGAGTACTCGTAATATCCTGCATGTCAACTTGTCAGACTACTGGAAGTGGCCTGCCTGCTGGCCTGCTGGCCTGCTAAGTGGCAGGACAGGCTGCATCCATTTAAGCCAATTCCCTTGACAGCTTTGGCGGTAAAAAAGCAGCTGCCCTTAAAGCATTCGTGCACTGGATACTGGATTTATTAGAAAAGAAATAAGCAATCCAGTAGCTATTGGGTATACTCGTATTGAGTGACTGTCAGAATTCAGGGATATGTGGCACAACTATTCGCTGGATGGCCATTAATCACTGGATGAGGCCAGCGAAATGAATTAATTGAGACAGAGGAGCAGAGGGGCTGGGGGGGCTGAATAGTATGGGTATATTTATATATTTAAAGCACACGCAACTCGTGACAAGTGAATCAATCAAATTAGCCAAGAGACTTTCAGTCGCGCTCTCGCGATCTTCAGGCAGACGGACAGGACAGGACTTGTTCATACGCACTATTCCATCCACCGCAATGCAATTAAATCGTAGTAAAGTGCGGCTTGGGTTGGGGCCCAGATGGACGGCCAGATGACTGTCAACACTTGGCCCAGCTCTGGCAATAGTCGGCAGTCGGCAGTCAGCAGGAGGGAAAAGTGGCCTTGGCTTTTGTTGACATTGTTTTCATTTGATTTACCTTTTCCCCATCACGACTGCCACATTGATTTCCGCATTATCCTTGATGCACAACCTCTGGCCAAGGCCTTGAGCTGTTAATTGGCTTACAATCACACCATGAAGACAGCAGTGGGCAGGCGACCACAGGCAGATCAAGTTCAGCCTCCTGTCTGGGTTAATCGATTGAATCGACCTTGATGGGGTACAGCCACGGGCACGGACACGGACACGGCTTTGACCCGGATGCATTGACGTCCTTTCATTGCATTAACATCCTCCTTGCTCCCCATTAGTATACGTTTAGGGGTCTCCATCGGCTAGGTAAACAAGTCTGCCAGCTTAATTAACGACAATCAAGCAGAGCCACTCTTCATCCTCCATTGCCAGCATTGTGCTCCTTTTTATATCTGTCCTGCCACTCATCGCCTGTTTTCCAGCTCCACCTCTTTGCTCGGTGGCTACCCTCCGGCAAATTAAACTGGTATTTCAGTAAGCTGGGGAAAAGGAAAGGCTTGCCGTGATTTGCCTCTGCCCACTCATCCGAGGGGGGACCTAAGCCCTCTCCTCGGCGGTCAGTGGGCGGGAATGCATCTCAAAGGCAGATACAACATTTTAATGTAACTTAAACTTGCATTTATGTACAACCACGGCAGAATCTGGCTCTGGCAGAGGTCGCATACAGACCTTAACCAAAAATCCTGAGGCAGCTTATCAAATTGCAGTTTTTGGCTGGTCCTTCCGCCCTTCCGCCCTTCGATTAAAAATAGTCCATGATTTGGGGTCCCAGACCGTGGCAAATAAACCAATTGAACCCGCCCTCGGAGCTGGCAGCCACAACCATAAACCGAAACTTTTCCCATGGTTGCCATTTCCAAGGTACCCCCTCCCAGAGTTGTCCCGACCAACCCGAACAAACCACGCTCCGAAATTACATTTTAATTATGAGCTTAGCAAACACCCCACCCCAAAATCAGCCCAAACCAGGGATCTGTGCTCCTTCCAGATGCTCCTTTCGTGCAGCTATGTTGGCCTGCCGCCTTACATTTCCAATAGAATTGCAACCACAGCGGCATCGCCCAGTGCCACATTCATTCAAAATCGTTTGGCACAAGTTTGACAAATGTTAAGCATAAAAGATAGGACAGGTCGGACAGGACTGCCAGCCAATTAATTGTTTGCAATTGACAATTTGCGGCGACAGCGGAACAAATGGCCAGCAGAAGGTGACGGAGGGGGTGAGGGGGGGCAAAGTTTTCTATAAATCTACCATTCGGCGGTTTGGCGGTTTCCCGGTTTCCCGGTTTGCCGGTTTGCCGGTTTGTGTGGCAGCATCTGTTCGGATTGTGCACAAAGTTAGCCCGGATATACATGTAGAATAATTTCTCAACGCAAGTGTCTCCTGCACCCCTGCACGAAAGAACGATTTATCAAAGGAAATGTGGGGCACAATCTGCCCGGCACTGGGGGTAACAAGTCTTTGTGTATGCTGCAGAAACAATTTTTAATTTTCCCCTTAAGATTTTCCATTTGAAATGAAAGGACCTCCCAGATGGGTATCAGCAAAGACTATACAATGCCAAGATCCAATATCTTATAGGGCATGAGGGACGTCTCTGACCACCGCGGACCCGCTGCCACGTCGGGGTGCCTTGGGCCCCTAAGTCGGTCCCAAAATCCTACCACAATTAGACGCGATCTCGGTCTTAGTCTCACTCTCGAGCATCAGTTTGTGGTTTGATCCTGTTGCAATATCTTGGTATTTTATAGACTTTAAGTCAAAATATTCCTTAACCTTCTTTTCCATTGCCATGCCAAATAATAAAACTAACTTTAAAGGAGTCCAGAGTCTAGAAAACACCCATATCATCAATCAATTTACTCGTATCCTGGAGCACAGTTTCACTTACATAATTACTTAGTTCAGTTGCACGATTCTCCCTGCCAAGCCGCATCTGTGAGAGCACAACCCGCTATAGAGAAAGTGAATTATCCTAGAGCAACTGCATTTTATTACTCTACTGAGCATATTCTTGTATTTGAAACTAGTTTATCCACATATTCCTTATAACTTTATTCCATAATCGATAATCCATAATCTTAGACGATATTTTGAAACCATTTCTTTAGTATTTCGTCCACACTAATTTATTTATTTATTTGAAAGCAAAAGAAATTTTATTTGAATACGTTTGCACAATGTTTCGACCAACTAGATTTTAGTCATTTTTGTATTGTTATTAGAATTAGAGCTAGAACTAGAACTAGAGTTAGTCTTAGGCAACATACGAGTCACTTGAATTATTCATCGACGCTCAGAATGTCCCCGTTTAGCCTGCGGAATGTGCTTCAGTAATGGTTCCCAAAGGGAAAGGACATCTTTTTGACTCAGTGCAGGACGAGACAAATTCCTATTTGAGTTCTGTTGAAATTAAATTTGCACCATTTTGATGGCGAATCATCAAAATGAAACTAATTAAAACACTTAGGCCAAAGAGCTGGAACCTAATTGGAACCACTCCCCACTCCCCGCTCCCCGCTGCCCGCTGCCCGCTCCCTGGTGCATTTGTCGCCGACTGTCCTTTCTTCCTGTCCCTGGATGGCGACAGGTACAGTCGGTGCGGGCAGGCATTCTAATTGAATATACTCGTATCTGGTTGCAAAGCCCACTTCATAAGTAGCCAACAAGGACGCACACCATTGCACTGGCTGTGCAACATCGGCTAATTGCCCAACTTCCCACGGCCGGTGGGGTAGCCACCGAACCTAACTAATTATCTGTTTTAATGCTCAGCTAATGGGGTCTGTATGGAACTTTTTAAGTACGAGAATATTTTATTTATTTCATCAAATTTTCCAATCCTTTGTCGGCTCAACAGCCCAATCTTTCTGCCCGTGCCTGACAGAAATCAATGAAAGCCCGGACCACAATTCGAGTGGTGGACGTGCCCACCTGGTCACACCGAGCAGAATTGATTGCATTTTAATTTAGAGTGTAGGCCCTTGCGGAGTTCTCAGAATTCATGTCGATTCGCCGGGGGGTGCCATGAGAGAATTCTGTGCCGGACATGTGTCGCAGACCTTTAATTGTACAACCCATACGGATATGTCAATAACTGACGAGGCCTGAAAAGCACAATCATTCTCAAATGAAGTGTTTAATGTGTGTTATTAGCTATTCAAAGAGGAAGGCATACGCGGCTTTCCTATGGCCCCGTTTGGGTCCATAGTTGTGCCGGGCGGGCCAATTAGTTGTGTGTTTTCAATCGAACTGGTGACAAGAAACCCATCATCTAAGCCATATTTAGCTTACAAGAAGATACTATCTATTTTCGCAGATCGGACAGCATCTTCATATTTCAAGCTACTTCATCTCCATGCAGCACGAAGCAATGTCTTAGAAGCTGAAGCATAACCTTAGGACTTTAGAGCTAGGAGAAGATACCATTAGACATCGCTCTCGTTTTGCTATACCCTCTAATGTGTGTCTTCTTTGGCATTCCGCACAGGTCCATAGCCAGGGACGAGTTCGGAACGCAGCGCGTCTACAAGAAGACCTCGCCGAATTGCGTGCTGACTTTGTATCTGCCGACGCGCGAGATGACGCTCACCGGGGACAAGGCGGCGGTGCTACGCGGGATTCTCTTCGTGGACCCGAAGGCCATCCAGGGATATCGTGTGTATGCCCAGCTAACGCTGACCTTTCGGTAAGGCTAAGGCCATGGGCCCTGGCACCGGTCGTACAAGCATTCAACATCAGCAGCAACAGCAACATAAGCACCATCCGCAGAATCAGCGACAGCAACTGCTCCGAGAAGAGTAACGGCGTAATGGAAATTCGATTTGCCCTTGAAACAGACAGCCAGGGACCGTCGGGATAGTTGACTGCCGGATTACCGGACTGTTGACTTTTAACTACTACTGACCGAATACTTTTCTTGGCTGTCAGTTCCAATGGGATAGTAACTTTTTCGTTGCTGGTTCTGCCGTTGCTGTTGCTGTTGCTGTTGCTGATGGTGGACGCTGGCCACGGGTGTTCGACTGAGTGTCCTTCTATCTTCGTGGTTCCTGCAGCTATGGCCGCGAGGATGAGGAGGTTATGGGCCTGCGTTTCTGCAACGAGGCCATCATGTCGCTGCATCAGATTTGGCCACGCCTCCAGGAGCCAGCCCCGGACTCGCTAAGCCCCTTGCAGGTAATCATCGTATTTGAAACAATGCATCTCTCTGCCCATACCGCCTCCTCCTCTAGCCACAGCTACTGCCCGGTGCACTCTCCTCCTGGACAGCGGCATCTGGCAACAACAGCAGCCATTGCAAGTCCTTGACCAGCCGTAGAGTGCAGTGCGGCAGATTAACGGGAAGGTTTGCCTGCCAAAATTGATGGCGAGGATGGTGGATGCCCCAAGGTCCCGTCACTCGCCACTCTTTTCGACTGCCCTCCATCAATCCATTCTTGCCAGACGCCTCACTGCACTGGCCCATCAATAAGTGGTCCAATTACAGAGCTCTGCAACGCCATTCGCAACGCAGATTCTCTGCCTCCCAGGAGGAAAATTCGAGAGGGAGCTAAAGACAGGGCCAAGGACAGTACAGAACGGAACAGTATAGCCGTTGGGATGTCTGTCTTCAGTTTGAGTTCACCTGCTCACCAAATACTTCCAGCACTTCCGTCAATCTAGTTCAAGTCTCCATCTATCCTGACAAGAGAGATAAACCTCAATCCAAAACAATTCGGAAAGATGTCAGATGCAGGGCATCAAATTGAGCCAAGAAGAGTCGCTCAAAAATGTTTTGAACTCCCTTCCGGGGACATCCTCGACTGTACAATAGCTCAAATTTCTTCACTTTTCCACTTAGAGTATCCTAACATCGACTTGGCTCTCTGGCTGTCTTCCGATTGAGGTCTCTCGAGGTCTGCTCCTCGGTCGTTGTCAATTTTTATGACCAAAACGTTCGATTCATCGATGCATCGCCATGGATTATGTAGGTCCGAGTCAATATATTCTCCCTGCGATGGAGAGAACCGCGGATGCACTTAGGCCGATTGAAAATCCATTCCATTTAACTAAAAGCCAAACAAGTGTCTGCGCCCGCCAGCCCGCCAGCCCGCGTATTCTTTTTGCATTGTTTTCGGGGCCCCTCGACTCCAAGGGGGCCGAACAAAAAAAATGTCAACTTTCAGCTTTCGGTTCTTGTTTTTGTATTGAATTTGACATTCACATTTCGGACAGGCCAGGCCGCAAGCCGAACCAATTCGGTTAGCCAAATGGCAATAGCCCACAGCTTCTCCACATTTGGGGTGCGGGACTGAAGACGGAGACTGAAGACTGGAGGCGGTACAGACAACACAGATACACGATACACACACACAAGGGCACGCATAATTAAATAAATTTGATTTTAATAACCTACCGAATGGCAAGACGACGGCGAACGGCGGTCCATCCAAAAATAGGCCTCAGCAAACAGGAATGGTGACAGGGAGCCAAACTTGTTGAGGGATCAGGCAGTGGCAGTGGCAGTGGCAGTGGCAGTGGCAGTGGCCGTGTCCAGGCATTGATAGATTGAGTGGAGCGCCAGCAAAAAGAGATTCCCAAATGATAGATTATAATTTGATGGCAGATGATGTTGCCCCGGCAACCAGCTGACCCAAGAAGGCGGTCAAGGAAAGCCCAAAGAAGAGCAGCGAAAGGTGTAAAGCGGATCCGACCCCAACTCGAAGGCTCTTCGACTGTGGCACTGGCCCTGCCAAGGCTATCAAGTTTGATAGTTCATGAACTTGATTTGATTTCCTGCCTTGGAAAACTTTTCCCGCAAATATTGCGAGTCTGAGCGCCAATCCGACTTTAAACGTCTTTGTGGGTGGCATGGCGTGGCTTGGCTTGGAGTGGCTCTGTGTCCTTGTGGTTGGCTCTGCCGTTGCCTTGGGGAACCTGGGATACGCGTACACGTGCCAGCGATTAGTCGTGGAAATCCACGCTCGAGTACGAGTATATGCCCAAGTGAAAGGATATACACTGAAAGGAAAGAACTGGGAATCCAAAGACCATTACTGAAGCCAGCCGATTCCTTTCCAGAAGAGATATATGTACATATAGTAGCCATATTTCGTTCAGTGTACGCACAGACATATTTCTTAATAAAATATAATCAAATGCAAATGAAATACTCGAATGCTGGGTCAAGAAATAATACTGAAACAAACAAAGACTTAGACAAAGCCAGAGATACAGATACAGAAACAGACGCGGAGACGGAAACGGAAACGGAAACGGACACTGAGACGGACGCTGAGACGGACGCTGAGACGGACGCTGAGACGGACGCTGAGACGGACGCTGAGACGGACGCTGAGACGGACACGGAGACGGACGCTGAGACGGACACGGAGACGGACGCTGAGACGGACACGAAGACGGCCGCTGAGACGGACACTGGAGTCGTAGGTTATCGTTATCGTTTTCGTATTTATTTTGGCCTTCTGGCAAACAACACTGCGCCCGCAATTCATAATTATATATCTGCCTTTGACTAAACTTTGTCTCAAGCACAGCCTCCTCCATACAGCTCTCCATCAATGTACGCGTGTACCCATAGTAAATATGTATATTGTACGAGTACGTACCAGATGTGTATCGCGTATCGAAGTAACTGGCGCAATTATGCGGACTTCGGTGTCGTGTTTCGCCCTGCACCATTGGAAACGAAACCAATCAAGATGCTAAATCTCCATGCTACTACTGAATCTGGCCCTCTTAACCTTACCCATCTTTCTCTCCCCAGGAGGCCCTTATGAAGCGTCTCGGAGGTGGCGCCCACGCCTTCACTTTAGTGCTTAACGCTCACTCACCACCAAGCGTTCAGTTGGTTCCGGCCAAGCGCTATTATGGGGCTCCAATCGGCACCAGCTACGATGTGCGTTGCTTCATTGGTAAGTGATTCGCGGGCGCTGCGGGAACCACGGGTCCAGCACGGGGGCACAGAGGCAGGTGTAGCGACACCGACGGGGGCGAACGAAGGGCACAGCGAAGGGGACACCCACGGGGACAACTACGGCGACAGACTCCGAACGTTGGGCGGTAGTTTATGTTAGCTTGAGTGAGCTCTGCAGGGGGCTAGGTTTTGCTTTGGCTTAGATAGGAGAGGAGATCCCCAATATCATCTAAGACACAATTATGAGCCATTCTGTACGATCCGAACACCATCAAATGCAGGTGATAATACTCATAATTCAGGCTCATTTGTAGCCAAAGGGGCCATGGCATATCTAGGGACAAGGCTACAGTGGTAGATCGTTTATAGAGGGGGAAAGGGGGGACGTTTATGGGGGGTTCGCGTGCGGAGACTTGGTTTTTTGGGCAGCCTTTTGGCTTTGAGTTTCCTTGGGAAGGGGTTACGATGGTGTACGATTGGGTGCGGGCTCGGACTGGACAGGAGACGGCAGCGGACTGGCTACGCTTGCAGCACTTATTTTCACTGTTGGAAACCCTGTTGTACTCACCTCAATCGACCCTCACTCATGTGCCATCCAAGATCGAGAAATGCAGCGGGAGAAGGTCCACATCACCTCGTACATGCGATGCCGCCAACTTGAACACTCGCCCGCCCAATGTATATGTATATCTATATGTATATGTATATATTGTGTACTCACTCGTCCTGGTATTCGGCCCGATGAGTGCCTTAAATGTTTGTGATTGATTTTCGTGTCGTTCTTTTGGTTTCTTTTATTTTTCTTGTATTTTCTGTTGTTTTTGGGCTCTTTGGAAAGCAGGCAGCCGAAAATAATACAAAACCAAAACAAAACAAAACAAAAAACATAAAAATAAAATCAATATTAAATACTTCCCCAAGGAGAGGCTCGCACCACATTCAGCTTCAGCTTCAGCTCCGACTCCGGCCTCCACTCAAATTCAGATTGAGATTCCGTTGATATTTTCCTTGTTGTCGGTCCGTGGACTGCGCCTGCGGCCGAGTGGAGCACGGGCAGGGGGCATTCCCTACTCGTTTCCGAGGATATGCAATATCCTGTTCAAGGCAACTGTTGCGACCAAGATAACGAGTCCATCTGTGGACGAGTCTGGATAGTTCTGTCGGTAAAAGCCGCTTACCCCCAGCCTGCCTGGGCCTGCTCCTGCCCCACGAGCGGTCAACCTGCTGAACAGCAGGACAACATCCGCACATCCCGGACAAGTCCAGGCCAGCAAGGAGGCGGAATGGCTGGCATGTGGACCTCCCGCACTCCCGCAATTATGTGGTTGACATCCGTAAGGTGACTGCTGGGTCAGCATTCGCCTTTCCGTAGGCCTGGAGCACGGAGCTGAGCACGAAGGCGGCGGAGACCAGATGTCCAAAGCGATGCGGTGGCCAACTGGCCATTGGTTTGTACAGTGCGTTTCAGATGTTTAAGCCAGTCCAATGTCAACTATAGAACCATTATCCATTGATTTCCGATATTAATATGATTCGGAGACTACATTTCCTCCACTCTTTGAGCATTTTTCAGAGTTCCAATCAAGTTTATTTAGTATTTTTCCAGCATAAAGTATCAGTTACTGAATGGTATCACTTTTCAAAATGATTCAGCCAATGAGGCTATCCATCTAAGCAATTACTATCGAAATCTTGCTTATCGGAATATCAACAAAACAATCGAATTCTCACAATCAATGATACCACTAATCGAATGGCTAAAAGTGCATTGTGAAAGGAGCACTGTTAGCCTTCTGTATTCTGCATACTGCATTGTATCTGTTGCTGTTTTTGAAACGCACTGTACTGTATTTTTGTTTTTTGAATTTGAACCAGCTCTTGATCGTTCCCCCTCTCCATCCAACCCGTATCCGCAACCCATAGATGTCTTAGTCTACGAAGAAATGATACGAATGGAGGCCGTCCCTATGAAAAGGCAGAGTCGTCGATTCTCTCGCCTTTGCGAATGCTGTTTTGCGTGTATGTGCACAGCATCCGACGAAGGTAATTAGATCGTCGGGTCGGTTGCGGAGCTCCGATCAGATCGGCTCCGATCGGTGTCGTGATCGTGATTATTCCGTTCCATTCCGTTTGGTTTTTGCAGTTTGGTGTTGTTGCTTTGCCTTGCTCTCCCCCTCTCTCTCTCTCTCTCTCTCTCTCTCTCTCCCTGTCACTCTCTCTGTCTCTGTCTCTATTTTAAATTCTATTGTATTTCTGTCTCTGTTTTATTATTGTTTCTCTCTTTGCCCTTGCAGAATGCCATTTAGCTAAGTCCGTCCGTCGTCTATCCATCTGAAACTTCTAAAAGATACAGATACACAACGAAACGAAAGTATAGGATGCGTACTTTATTCAACGAAACTTCAGCTCGAAATCAATTCAAGCAGCACTCTGCAAGGGTATCTGAAGCCTCGGCTCTCGAGGCTAGTACTTGTATCCGTATCTTTCCGTATCTGTGTGCCGTTCGTGCCATTGTGCGTATGTTTGTGTGTGTGTGTGTGTGTGTGTGCTTGGATCTACGTATTTGGTTTTTCTTGATGTTGACTCTCCACACTCCACGCCTCATCCTTATCTTTTCACTTGATCTACATCCTTCCATCTTTCCCCAGTATCTCTATCATTTCTGTGTGTGCCATTTCCATTTGTTCCATGTTCCATGTGTATTTTTTGTTTGTTTTGTTGTTTGCAGTCCGTTCTTGTGGCCGCTCGCCAGCCTCCAAACAGATGGCATTCCAAAAATTACAAAATATTACATTATCATTTCTGGCATTCGCACAATCGACCGACAGTGAACGGACGCCCCTTGAACCCGCCCCTCCCGGACACGACTGAAATGAAAATTTGTATCACAATACACACAAAAACCAAAACAGAAAAGACAATATTTGGCAACACTTTTTTTTGTTCCCCAAAATTTTGAGCACCGGCGGCGGCAACGACAGCGGCAGCAGCGTCCAGCAGCTCTCCCACGAGGCCAACCAACTAAAGTCTCTTTTTCTCTTTCCCTGTCTCCGTCTCCGTCTTCGTCTTCGTCTCTGTCTCTCCCTCTGTGTGTGTGTGTGTGTGGTTCGCTTCCTTGGCAACCTTGAAGCTGACAAGACCGACGAGAAGTTCCATCGGCGGGCCTCGGTCAAGATGGGGGTGCGGGTCATCTACCGCACGGACGTCTTTCAGCACTCGACCACCGAGCACTTTGCCACCTGCTCCGGCTGCCACCATCAGGCCGGGCGCAAGTCGTCGCCGCCGGCCGCACCATCCAGCGCCACTCTCCCGGTCAACAGGGAGACCGCCGAGCAGCAAACCCAGACGCCAACCCATTCGCTGGGCTCCGGAACCGGATCCGGATCCGGATCGAAGTCAAAGGGCAAGTCCGAAAGGGGCGACTCTTTTCCAAAGTTGCGCCTGTCGCCGAAGGCGTTCCGGTTCAGCGGCCGCTTTGGTCGCAGCAAGAGCGAGATCGAGAAATGCCCACCGGACTCGTTCCACAACTACAGCAAGTCCTTCCAGGAGGTGAGTGTCCCGAGAGTAGCTGCCGTTGCGGTCCTAATTTGTGTCAATCTGTGCCCCAACAGCATCACTGCGACTGCATGTTGGCGCCTTTCAGCGGAGCCGGGGTATCCGGGGGCATTGGCAGCATCACTCTGGGACCCGACGGCGGGCCGCAGGGCTCCGTGGACAAGCCGTTCCTGCTGCACGACGGCCGGGTCGGACTAAAGGCCAGCCTGGACAAGGGCTGGTACACGCACGGCGAGGACGTCAATGTGACCATTGAGATACGCAACGACAGCCGCAAGACGGTGCGCAAAGTGAGGGTGAGTACTCGTATTGACTTTTGCCTTTTGCTTTGCTCCACTTCCCCACTTTCCCACTTGTCTGTGTCCTTGTCCTTGTCCTTGTCCTTGTAATGTCCTGTGTCCTATTTCCACACTCTATTCCCATTCCACTTGGCCATTTATTTACGCTCTTTCCCAGTCACTGCCATGCCTAACAATGTTGCATTCATGACTATCAATTCATATAACGTATACGCAGTGTGGTGCGGCCGCTGGTTGCGGGACCATTGCAAAACTGTTGCTTTTTGGTCTAATCATTAAAAATGCAAGGAGAACTGCAAATGGCGGGGGTAATGGTGGCTGAGAACGAGCGCATACCTAATGGCTGGTTCAGGTGGCGCTTTCTCCCCATTTGCCCCTGTCAATCAGCGGAATTATGTGCATCCTTGCAATCGCATTGGGACTGTGATTGGGATTGGGGCCATGGCATTGCACAACACACACACACACACACACACACACCCATGAAACAGGCATAAAAGCGGCATTGGCATGCATACCAGCATATCACCAGAGAGATATTGAGGACGGGCGAGAAATTGAAAGAGGCAGGAACGTGGTGAAAGGAGCACCAGGAACAATACGGATGGGTGGCAGGGTGGGCAGTTGGTTGGGCACCTGCATCGAGTACCGGGGTCATGTTATGACAGTAAATCAAACAGTTGCCTTGGGTCCTGAGGCCCAGTGCCCGTGCCAGTGCCAGTGCCAGTGCCAGACCAGGGCCCAGCTCAGTTACAGCTCCAGCGGCAGCCACAGCTGCTGTCAGTGCAAAGTGGATAGCGATGTGGCTGGATCTGCACCACTAACCTCATCATCTTCCTCGGTTTGCACACCGTAGCCGTAGCCAGTCGTCCATTACCAATTTAGTTTCCGGATTATTTCACGTACTATTTACATTTTTGGCAAAGCAAATACACAAAACGAAGCGAACAGAGCCTTCAAACAGGCAGGCAGATGCGTTTCCATCTCTGGCATTTATGCAAGTAAAAATAATGCAAACAAATGAGAAAAACAAACGATGTAAAGGCAAAGGCAAAGGCAATGGTGAATCAGCTGCCCTTCAGTTATGTCATTAGAAGCAAGATCCGCTCTGCATTGAATACGACTCGAGTGTTATGCAACAAGTTTGAGTTCCTTTGGGTACTGTGATGTGCATATGAAAAGATTACCCATACGCACTGGGGAACAAATCAGGCAGAGGGTCGTATGAATCTCCAAATCAAATATCCAGAGGGGCGCCCGAAGGGCGGTGCGTTCTATGTGGCTTACCTTTTTCACAGCCATCCCATAGAGCCACTTTGACTAGGCTCTCTTTCGCTCGGAGAAGGCGATAGCTCTTGCCACTCAATAGATTTTTGGCTTGGGATTTCTCTGCCGGTCGATTATTTTCATATTTTCACACATCAGTCGTGCCTCATCCGGCCTTCGATTACACATTTCTTTGGCTCTGGCTACCCTGGTTACTGCAGGTCAGGGGGCAGGCAGACTTTATGGCTAACTGCCCGCAAATTGGTTGGCAAGAAGACAAAAATCAGGTGCCGTGCCGGGCCGTGCGGCTCCTGAACTTGCCTTTTAATTACGCGCCGGATATTACGCATTCAGAGAGGGAGGACACAATGGGGGGGGGGGGGGGGGGGAAGACTATGAAGAAGAGACACAAAGCAACGGCCACAATTGAATGACAAACTATTGGAAAATGAAACTGGAAGCTAATGAAAAATGCATAATGCAAGAACACGACTCAAGTCTGAGTGAAGAAACGGCAGCAGGAAGCCAGGGGCAGGAGGCACGAGGCACGAGGCAGGGAACTGGGGGCACAGTCCCAGGCAGACTGGAGGCAAAGCAAGCGTATCCTGAGGGCCGGACTTGAGTGCGCAGTGGAAAATGTTTCATGGTGCTGGCTGTCAAATGTTATTGTTTATTTTTATTGTAACCGCAGTATTTTCACAGCGCATTGTTCATTGATGATGAAATTGATGAATGGGACATACTAGACGACACAAACACAGACACAGACATCGACATCGATAAAGTCGGTGACGGGACACAAGTTATGACATTTGCACATATGGAATTGACTTGCCAGCCAGCGTAAATAGTCCACAAACTATCAATGGTAAAATGTATCGGAAAACGTGCAGATGTGGAACTGCTCCAGGACTCGGAGGCCATTTCTGGTTAGTTCGAAGAAAAATATGGGCTGAAAGGTAGCTGGAATGCGCATGCAATTATAATCTGTTAGAGGCAGGTCCCTGATAGAATCCACAAATGTCGGTGACTAGGCTAGGACCCACAGCAGTCGGTCAAAGGGAAATCGCTGCTTCCAAGCCAGAAGAGAAGAATTTGGACCATATGGAATAGTTGTGAGGTTGAAAGGGGACTTTCCATTTGGCGAGAAAGAGGCTACAACCGTTGGGGTTTATCTTCTTCTGACTATCTGTGTTATCCAGCTTATGGATGCCACATATTCCATATTCCACACGAAATAAAAGCTGACACACACTCGTATGGAAAAGTAAATGGTATTTTCATTTGAAGTTGACGGTTGTCCTGTTCTGGCCCTGGCACTCTGGCTCCCCCCCCCCCCCCCCCCCCCCCCCCACATCTCTTATGCAGTCGCATTGATTCGATTTGATGGTGTCCTCTGTTTTCCGAGCAGCACGAAAGTATGCTATACTTTTTTTCGGCTACCGCTCTTTCCTCTTCGTCGTGCACTTTGCGCTTTATTAAATATGTATATTTATGGCTGGCTGTGTGTGTGTCTGCGGGGAAGCTCTGAATGCTGAATGCTGAATGCTGAAATTGCTTTGTACTTGTTCGCCATTAAATGTGAAAAGTTACCCAAGACGTGGGGACACTGCCGAAGGAAGAGGGAAGCCTGAGAGCATGAAAGTCCAATGGAAGGTGCGGTCTTTAGCTAGCTCGGACATTTGCTATTCAATTTCGAAACACGAGCAGAGGCAGAGAAGCCGGCCACAGCAACAAGTCCTTGGGGCAGCCAAAAAGTCAATCGAATACAAAATGCTTTTGGACCAAAGCCAATTGAAAGTCCCGCAAGTGTGGCATAGAAGAAATATCCGCATGTCTCGTTGGGGGCAAAAAGAACATTTAAATGTTGCATGGAAATGAGAATTGTCGCTGAAAGACCGTGATTTCTCGATTCGATTAAAGAACGCGCTGGCAAAACGGCAGAGAAACGGCCAACCCATTGAAGGAGTTTGTCGAGATTAGATCTGCGGCCCGCATCCAGCTATAGAAACCGGCCCAGGCAATGCCTGCTTACGAGTATTGTAAATCAAATCAAATCGAATGGAATCGAATGGAATGGCACCGAAGCAAATCAAATTGAATTGAATTGAATTGAATTGAATACCCGTACAGTTTTCGCCATTGAAGTTTTTGCAAATGAGGCACCAGAAATGTCATTTTTGGTCAATTTCTTAGTCCTGTGTCGGCGGTAAGCTCTTTAAAGAGCCATGCCCATATTCTGCCTGGAAAAAATCGATGAGGGCACAGTTTGCTTGGCACAGATTGGCCGTAACAGGTCCATAACAAAAGCCGACACTGGTAGGCCGCCAATAAGTGAAACCATTCCGGGGTTTAATTTCTTTCTCTCCCATGTGTTTTCGATCCTGTTTGTGGCTGGTTTGCCTGCACGGATACTCGTATTATTACATGGCCACTTGAATGGACGGTAATTGAGTGCATTATCGTTGATTGGGCGGCAGATTGGGAGATTGAGCCAGGGCCAATAAAATAATGCTTGACATTGCTGGCGCTTGTCCAAAGCAAACAGGACACGGTCCACCCTTCGGACTTCGGTGGCTTCAGAATGCCCTTGACGAACAGTCCGTAAGGCGGGAAGGAGTTGGAGACACGAGCTTTGAGCCAGAAGGACTCCACGAAAGTTAGAGCATTTATTTGCTCCTCCCTGGTGGCTTATGTGGATCTGCAATGACTCCTGTCACTGTCACTGTCAGCCAGCCAACAGCAATGACCTTCTCACACACATCTCCCACGCCTCATCTCCACTCATCTCTAACGTTCTCTGTTCTGTTCTCGTTCGGGGGGGAGGGACAGGTCTGCGCCATTCAGCATGTGGACGTCTGTATGTTCAACAATGGGAAGTTTAAGAATGTTGTGGCTGACTCGGAGCAAATCTCGCCGCCGGTGGACCGTACCGTAAGCCCGGGTGCCACGGTCAATTCGGTGGTGGTGTTGCGGCCCCAGCGCGGCCAGACCAAGAACTGGATCGCGCTGGAGGACTCTCTGCAGCGAAGCACCGAGCCCGACGAGATCACTGGGGAGATAGCCGCCTCGGCCATACGTCCACCCCACTATGTGGTGCCGAACGTGCAGCAGGCCGGGCAATCCCTGCCCAGTCCGGCCATGGCCATGCCCAGCGCCGACATGCCGCCACAGCAGGGAAACGCCACCACCACGTCGACGGAGGATCGGAACATCTTCGCCATCTATGTGTCTTACTACGTTAAGGTGAAGCTCACTCTGAGCAGCATGGGTGGCGAACTGTCGTTAAAGCTCCCCTTCGTACTGGTGCACGTGGATGAGACCAGGCGCCCGGGCTTCGCATCGGCCACCCTCGGCGAGCTACGCATCGAGATGGAGAAGCTGGCGCTCCACGACGCACCCGCCGGGCGGCGTGCCGGCCGCCGTGATCCCCCATTGGGGGCCGAGAGCGCGGACGGGCCGTCCACCAGTGCCGCTGCCACGGCCGCCAGCTCGTCTGGAGGTCACCTCGACCGCATCGAGTCAGCGGACGACGAGTTCCACATACACATTCCGGTATCTTCCGCCTCGCACAAGCGGCGACTGCAGCGCAGCGAGACCCTGGCCAGGGATCTCGAGGAGAGCGATGAGCACTTGGCCGAGCCGCACGAGGACCAGGAGGAGCACATTGTCCAGATCCATCCGTCGCAGGAGCCCATCCGGGTGGAGAGATCACAGCAGACGGATGACGAGCAGGAGCGGGCTCAGGCTCAGGCTCAGGCTCAGGCCCCTGGCGCCGAGACTGGGGCCGTGCCCAAGTCCACAGATGTCTGATTCTGATTGTTGTCCCAGATGTTTGCCAAGCGCAAGAGAAAGCCATAGGGGTGGGGGGTGGGGATTGGCAGAACGGGAGCGGACTAGCGTATGAGGGCAGCAGGGGATGAACAGTTGAGGCGTAGGGGAGTAGCAAGGGTCAGAGGCCAGAGCGAATGGGCAGAAGAAAGGCTGAGAACGATGTGAAGGGTAGACAGGGGGTGCAAATCTAAGTAGTATTAGTTATTGACTATATTTCGAATAAACACAAAAAAGAAAAAAACAAAACAAGTTTCAGTTTCGGTTTCAGGAGCCCAGGACTCGGAAGAGTCCCAGGCTAACGCCCAGCTCAAAGGTTGAGAAATATGTTAATCAAATAAAATTAAGGAGACCCACATATGGTTTCCACGATTGAGAGACGCGATTGAAAGACTTTAGTCGGTGTAGAATTAGGAGCAGAAACCACACAGAGAATTCCAGGCTGCCAGGCTGCTAAGATTCGAGGATCGATCGAGTGGAATGGAGTGGAGTGGTATTCGTTTTCAGAGTATTTATATTAGTTATGATGGAGGTCCTACAGTGTTTAGACAATGAAAACCAGGTGAAATTTTTTTGATTCGAACTAGGATTTCAATCGAAACTGGATAAAGGATGCGGAGTGTAGAATGCAGAATGCAGAATGCAGAATGCAGAATGCAGGATGAAGGTGGAAAGCAAAGTCGAACTTGGCGTTGAAATAGCATCTGTGGATGGAACGTGGATAGTCATAAGATAGTATGCTAATATGTATGTATAAGAGGACATCATTGGATGTTCGATAGTTGATATTAATCCCAATACAATGCAATGCAATGAATTTATGATATTGCTGACGAGGTATACATAATTGAAATGAAATTTGAAATCGCTTGGATCTAATCAGAGAATCATGGCGTAAATACCATCTGTATCGAGTGGAAATTGAAGAGAATTGGTGGCCAAACCAAATAAACTTAATCAACCAATACTAACTAATACCGTACGGTACTTTACGGTACTGTACTGTGTGTTTTTTTAGACTCGTAAGTGAATGTGTAGTTCAATGAAATACAATATCATATACAACTCTGATTGATGTGCAACTAATACTACAACAACTACTTATACTAATATACAAGAAGAATACAAGAATACAATTACAAGTACAGCCACAATATACAAGTCCCACACAGATACATACATGCATACAAGCAAGAAATAAGTATTCTATAGAAATCTATGTCTACAATATACACATATACATATGTAGGTACTATATTGTATTCCATATTACAACTATTTTATGTGTATTTACAAAACGTACGACAAAACGACAGAACAAAGAAAAACTAATTACGAAATAACCAATACAAAGAAACCAACAAAACAAAAAATTGTATACAATTTAGTGCTCGTTAAATACGAAATACGAGATACAAATACCAAAATCTAAATGTGAAAATCTTGTTGCGGTTTCAAGCAGAAGAACGTATTTACAAAACACAAAACACACACAACACCTACATATGTACAGCCAATGGAAACAATCGCATATCGGTGCGGGTTGAAGACCCCCCCCCCAGACCCGCAGAGGTCCCGGTCCCGGGCCAACTCAACCAGTATTGAATTGAATCTATGAATTAATTAATTCAATTAGGAATTGCAAATCAAGCACAAGCACAGGCAAAACCAAAGCAAAGCCAAACCAAACCGAAAACAAAACCAAAAATAAAAGCGCGTGGAGGTCGACGAGGCATAGAGACAGAGGCCGCCCACATTCATAATCGAGAATAAGATTTATCACAGGGACGAATTTTCGGAGAAGCTCCATCTCGGTGTACTACGACCCAGAACAAACGTCTACAATAGCTATAGTTTTTGAAAGTTTATTGAAGCCTCGCGATGCTTCGATGCAGGCCATTTACCAAATTTGCCCGATTGAGTCCTCATATTTTTGTCCTTTGGAGAGGTCTCTCCAGAGGTTGATATACGAGTGTGTAGTCTGGGATATGGCCTGGTCAGAACCATCATCAATGAAGCACAAAACCAAACACGAAACTAAATTAATAACGATTTTAAATGCATATTCATATGAATTTATCCAAAATCCAAGTACATATATGTAAGTGTCTAGAGAGTTATTGGGCAACACAGAACACACGCGACACAAAATCCATTGAATAAGCCAGAATTTATGAATTTAGCCAAGTTGGGGCGTTAACGGAGTTAACGGAGTAAACTCCAATTAACAATTTGGCTAGAGAGCCAACCGACATACACACATACATATATACTCATATTAGACAAGCTATACTCGTACATAGATTAGGGGCAAATACTCGAACAATAAGGAATACATAAAGAATACAAAATAGTAATACAATAACCGATACTATAGCCGTTCATTGTCGTTCATCGTTATCGATGTGCATTTTTTTGTGTGTGAATGTGTGATTTCGAAAACAACTATAAATCTATATACAAGTAAACATATGTGATGCATTTCTATGAGTACACTGAGGATGGAAATCCTACTTCGCATACACTTGGGCATACTCTATATACAAACAAAGATATACACGGCAAAAGTAAAAAGAACTATATTATTATACATGTATATTGAATACCTACCTACCTACCTTCCTACCTACCTACCTACCTACCTACCTACCTACCTACCTACCTACCTACCTACCTACCTACTAGATGGCTATTTAGAACTAAGTCTTGATAAAATACAGCATACATCCATGCATAGATACATACATACATACATACTCTATAATGTACGAGTTGGACTCTAAGCGAAGCTTGCCGACACACGTTTTTTTGGTGCTGTTCTCTTGATGGGTTGCTCTGTCACCAGGCTCTGGGGCCAGATAGGAGTGTGGGCCTCTTGATTGATGGTCCACCGCAACAAGAGGGGGCACAGGGCTGGTTTTTGTGGGCTCCGGGGATCTGGGGACAGACAGACCGCACTAGGACATCCGAAAACATAATACAATAAATGTTTAGCATACAATCTAGCCCGAAACTCTGCTTGTTTTCATTCTCTCTTTGAAATTGCCGTGGATTACTGTGGATTGGTGTGGCGCAAGGGGCGTGCCTTACCCCAGCGGGAGTTCTATGGTATTTGGCCCTGGCCATCATCTGGCTGACCATTAAGCGAACTAGCGGGCTAACACGGCTTGGCTTTCTGGCAATCAGCATGGAGCTACAGCTACAGCCCCCCGCGTCAACCGAGATCCGGGTCCCAGCCACCAACCCCCAAGGCAGCGGGGAAGGGGCAACAGAGGATAACAGCGTTACAGAGTTACAGACTCCGAAGAAAGCTTTCTTTATGTCCGAAAACATTGCTTAAGCAACAAAGCTTCTGATGGGCTTTCCACGACTATTAAGCTTACAAGCTTCTCCTGGCATGGAAAGCTTTTGTAAGTTCATGTAGGTTCTGTCACTGAATTGGGGAACGAACACGATTCTGTGGCATCACGGCAAGAAGCCTTGTAGAGTCTTTCAAAGGAACCCAGCCAGTGCTCAATCCCTCAAATCATCCTTAAATCCCAACCCGAGGACCGGCCTCGGAGAAACGGAAACCAAATCGGCAGTAAGCCGCAAGTTAAACACTATAAGAATCCAAGTTATTACTATTCGGATACACTCCCAATACGCTCTACACTTTACAATCGAATTGAAACCGTTCAAGGGTCGAAATTCTGAGGTAAGTCGGAGGGCAAGCCTCCTCCTAAAACAGGGAAACTGAGAATGAAGAGTCACACTGAGAGTAACTCACTAAATTCCAAGGTAAGTCCGAGGTTAAGCCTCTTCCTGTAAAAGCATTCATCCCAAACCTATCCTACACGCAGTTAGTGGGCAAAGAATGAAGAATGAATGAATGAACTTTACAAAAGTAAAAGTTCTCAAGGGTATTTTCTACAAGATTGAAAGCGGCTGAAATATGATTTCCTATTTCTCTAAAGCGGTGACTTAGTGATAGCTGAATCACCGTTTAGGGCATGATATAACCTCCATGACAGTCCGCAATTCCAGCAGGGAGCCCTCGAACGCAGACACTGACGTTAGTGGCGTTGTAGGCCCCTCCGCCCTGGCCTCGGGACGAAGAATGAAAAAACAAAATGCATGCCGTGTGCGTGACGCGCATTGCAGCTTGATTTCATCAGATTGAATACAATGGAATATCTCATTAGGTGTAGGTATGACTTATCGAAAGACGAGAGGATTTTGTACACAGATTAGGCTCCAAAGAATCCTTAAGCTTCGTCGGTGCTGGGCCCACAGCAGAGCCCGTCCTGAAGGCACAACTACATTATGAATTCTCTGCCGAATCTCAGGAGCTAAGATTCCTCTTTTTAGTGACCTGTTTCCTCTGCTGAATATAGGTACACGTGCAGCTTTGTTTTGTTTACATAAAGTTTTTATTAATTTGTATTTGATTTTTAATAATAAATATATTTATTTGTTTATCCGATTTCTTCGTTTTCTCGTCTCTCTCTCTCTCTCTCTCTCTCTCTCTTTCGCTCTTTCTATCTCTTTTCTTCCCTCGTTATCGCATGGCCATTGCCATTTGTAGTATTTTGTATACCTTCTTTTATTAATATTTGTATTTGCGGCTCCTTTAGCTTTAACAGATTATGGGAAATGGGTTTTTGCTAATTGGCCGAAATCCGAAATCAGAGAGGGTCTAAACAGAGGCTTAAATGAGAGAGAAGTACGATATTGTTTCACTGTTTCTTCTTGTTTTTTATTGGTTTATTTGTAATGCAATTAATTGACTTGTTTTCCACAAGCTTTTCTCGACCCTCCCACCCTCCTTCTGCTCCTTCACTCACTCATTCTCTCTCTCTCTCTCTCCCTCCCTCTCTCTCTCTCTATCTGTCTGTCTCCTCGCTCTTGCATATAAAATGTATACTATGTATGTATGTGTATATATATATATATATATATTTATGATCTGTATATATATAAACCATTTTTTGTTAGTTTACATTTTTGTTATTGGTTTGTTGTTGTTGTTTTGGGAGGCAAAAAAGGCACTACAATCTAATAAGTTACGACGATGAAAAAATTAGTTTTATCTTTCGTTCCCCTCCTATATATGTACATATATATATTTTAAATATATATATACACATGTACATATACACCTTCGATCTGCTATATATCTGCTAGTTCTTCGAATTTTATCATATAAATAAAAGATGCACAAAAAATTGGTGTTTCAAGTACTTCGAAGTAATGCTTTTCAATGCTTTCAAAATTCGTTTTCATTTGTTCTCCTCCTTTTTTTTGTAGTTTTTTCTTTCAACTTTTGTTTTTTTTTTTTTGTTTTGTATTTTTTTAGTGTGGGAAGCTAAGGTTAAAGTTAAATTTAAAGTTAGGTTGGATTTTCGCTAGGTATTGTATTCATGGATTCATGGATTCATGGGGAAAACAAGCCTCGAGTCGAGTGTCCTTAAATGCCCATTAACCGGTTAGCAGTTAACAGTTTTCGCGTCACTTAAGCCTAGTACAACGCAAAACATATGTATACATATAATTATAATATTGAATTATCTCTGTTTAAGGTTTAGTTGCTTCTCCTTCGTTTATCGGTATAGTTTGGGCAATAAATTAATTAAATAATGACAAACAACGACAAAACAAGTAAAGAAAAAAAAAAAAACACAATTGAACATCATCTATTCGTATTCCTAGGTAAACAATAAATTAAATACACACAGACACGCACACACACGCACACTGGCACACAGAGTGCAACTGTTTAAAGCTTAAGTGGTAGACAATCCTTCCTTTTATTTTCGTAGTTTGTATTTTTGTTTGTAACTCTTTTTTTTTTTTTTTTTCCTTTTTCTTTTGTTAGACAAATTTTTAATGCACACGGGAAAGGGGGGCACAAATTGAAGCTAGCCTTGGTTGGGGGGGAGGGGGGGAATAGAATTTAACATACAATTCTGCTGTAGTTTCGCTTTCGATTTCGCATTCGCGTTCGTTTGTTTTGTAGTTAAGTGTGTGGTATATATAGAAGTATACCGTATATATGTAGTTTACATTAATATGCCTATATATAAATTCATTGCTTAACGTCGCTGTACTTTTTAATTTATATTTTAATCTGAATTTTCGGGATTTACTTTCGTGGGGGGGGGGGGGGGGAGAGGGGCGTATGGAGGCTGTAACAATTTCCATTCAACAAAGAATTTTGAAATGCAGGAATCAACTTAATTAGTTTTGTTTTTCACACATGAAAATACACATATATATATATATATAGCGATAGATACAATACAAATACAGTATATAACATATACGTTTATCCATATGCACATAGAGAGATGTTAACAATATTTTCTTTGTCCTCTTTCGACTCTGTTGGTCTCCTCTTTCGCCTCGCCTCGGCCATTTTCGATCTTGAATATAGTATATATATATATATGTATGTATAGTATATGTATAAAAGTGTTTTGTTTTCTTTGTATTTGTTGTTTTTGTTGTTGTTGTTGTTGAACCTTTAAGGAAATGGAAGCGGATGGATATATTATTTCTTCTTATTGGTCGCCAGCATTGGGGCGCTTCGCTGCGGTGTAGTGGGTCGCGACGAGTTCATTCCACTGTACAAATACTTTGCCTTCTTCTCGGATGGTTTCAATATCTGAAAATGGTTTTGAACACCGATTAGAGATGCGATTTCCCCTTGCTTGAATCGTGTCGTACCTGGAATGAGCACATGAGCGTATCGTCCACGGTCATCATGCCGCCAGCATTATCGAATTCGCCGCAATAGTTGGGCGCCGAGAATAGTGTGACCAGCTGGCGACGTGCAAAGAACTCGTATCCATCCTCCACGACCTGGAAACACACGGATTTGGATAATTATCACTTGGAACAGTATGCGGGGGAGGGGTGGGGCTGGCTCGGACACTCACCTGATGCGCACGACAAATCAAGTCGAGCTCGTGCCGATTCAAGAACTTGGAAACCACATCCACACCGAATGTAAAGCTCACGCCACGATCGTTCTCGCCCCAGCCCTGGACATCCTTGTCGGGATCACTCCACAGTAGATCGCACAGCAGCCCGGTGTCGGGCACATCTGTGGGCCGCATCAGGCGGCGGATTTGCTCCATGCCCTGCAGATCGGGACTGAGGCCGCCGTGGCAGCAGAATATCTTCTCATCGATGATGGCGGCCACCGGCAAACAGTTGAAGCAGTCTGTGAAGGTCTTCCAGAGTTTTACATTGTACCGGCGCTTGCACTCGTCGTAGAAGCCTGCACGGGGTGGGATAATACACAGCGTTAATGAGCGTTAATGTCTTATAAGATCCACACTGGGCACTGTCTAAAAATACTTATAAATATTACTAAATGATGATCCACACAGGTTCTACTTGAAACATACAATCGAATCATACACACATACATATGTACACTCGAAGCACGTACATATGTATATTCCACTTGCAGGCCAGCTTGTACACTCGAGATCCACATGGGTTCCACGTACATCCAGTTTATACAATCATGCAAACACAGGTTCTATGTGAAACCCAAATACAATCAACATACGATCCACTTGTAGTCCACATTGTTGGGAGATCCACATAAGCTGTGCTTACAAAACACACTTGAAATTCCGTATGTACATATGTTTCACACCCAATCCACATATGTTCTACATGCAATCCACACTGGTTCCACTTGCAATCCACACTCCATTTTCATCCCATTTATTTATTAAAATAAATACCATACATATGTATGTTCCACATGCAATCCACAAGCTTTCCACTTGGAATCCACACTCCATTTTCATCCCATTTATATGTTTAAAAAACACCATTCATATGTATTTCTACATTCAATCCACACGGGTTCCACTTGCAATCCACACTCTATTTGTATCCCTTTTATAAAAAAAAAAAAAACAATGCGTTCCACAAACTTACCGTAAATTCTGTTAATACTGGCACACTCATGATTGCCGCGCAGCAAGAAGAAATTCTCCGGATATTTGATCTTGTAGGCCAACAGCAGACAGATGGTCTCCAGCGACTGCTTGCCCCGATCCACATAGTCGCCGAGGAACAGATAATTGGCGGCCGGCGGGAAGCCGCCGTACTCGAACAGCCTCAACAGGTCTGTGTACTGGCCATGGATGTCGCCGCAGATGATCAGCGGCGCCTCCAGCTCCAGCAGTATGGGCTGTTGCAAGAATATCTCGCGCGACTTCAGACACAGGCCGCGCACCTCCGCCTCGGTCATCTGCACCTGTTTGCCGGTACGACAGCTGCGCACTGCAAAATGGTTTTTTTTTTTTTTTTTGTTGGGCGAAAAATTCAGTTAGTTCTTGGGTATTCGACTGGAGATCGGTCTAAATATACACAGAGAGAGATATGTGTGTGTGTGTGTGTTTGAGTGGATTCTAGCTTAGCCTAAGATTTGACTCTGGTAAAAATACACAGACGAGTACGGGTACGGGTACGGGTACGGGTACGGGTACGGGTACGCGGACGGGGGACAAACGAGCACGTAACGAAACGATTCGACGAGAGGACAAACACAGTACAACACATGACGGAGAAGGTGGATATGTGTGTGGGACGTGTGTGGGATGTGTGTGGGATGTGTGTGGGACGTGTGTGGGACGTGTGTGGGACGTGTGTGGGTTGAGATATGTATAACAATGCCACAAACAATGCCTTGTCGTGCCTACTTTGTGGCGCATTATGAATGTGCGCGTGAGGCGACGACCGAACGACCGAGCGACCTTCAAAAAAGTCCTTCTCTGCCGCTGCAAAAAATGTGCAACTACTGCATGTGTCCCAGTCCCACTTCCAGTCCCATTCCATTGTTCTGTTCTCTGGATAATTGCAAGTTGTCTCTGCCTGAAGACGATTACGCTCCCTGACACTTTCCTGCAATTAATTTTGTGCAGCTATATGGCCCCTATCCCCCACCAGGCCCCCACCAGGCCCCCACCAGACCTCCCACAAAACAACTAGGTCGCATCTGTGTGCGTGTGCAGACAAAAATTTAATTAAATTTGCATATCCCCCGAAAAATGCTGCCCGCTCGAAAGTTGTGTGCCAAATCTCGATTTGGGTCGGAAGCTCCAGCACCGCCCAGAAGGACCAGAAGGACGAGAAGGACCAGTAGGACCTGCTGCCGGATGTGGCAAAGGGTTTGCGTAACAAAACAGAACCCCGCCTCCAAATGCCCCAAAGCGTCAGCCAGCTGCACTCTGAAAGCAGCTGTGATTCCTATTCCTGGCTAATGCCCGCCTCTCGAGATGTGCTGAGAGTCCTCCAAGGGAATTGATTGTGTGTGAATAGGTGGATTGGATGGGATATTTCACTCTAATTGAAGTACGTGCCTTACAATTAATAGAAGCGACTGGAGAACTGGAAAACTGGAAGATTGCTGGCATATTTTTGAAAAAGTTTCGAAGGAGAAATGGCTAAAAATATCTTAAAACCAAAAATTCTCGCTCACACACTCTCCTCGTGCAGTGTGCGCGGTCTGGCGGAAGAAAGCGAGAGTCGTTGTTCCCCCACACGCTTTTTGTGTGAGCGAGTAACGAGTAACGATTAACGAGTACCGGCCCTTGGCTCATTCTCTCGCTCACACACTCTCCTCGTGCAGTGTGCGCGGTCTGGCTGAGGAAAGCGAGAGTCGTAAGGCTCACAATGTTCCCCCGCTCGAGCGAGTAGCGAGTAACGAATAACGAGTACCACAAGTGCCGGATAGTGAATGAATGTAAGCTTTTCTTAGCAAATCGTACAGATAGCATAGGTTTTTCATAGCTGATGGATTCCAAGATGCTTCCAGCTCCCCTACAAAGTATATTTCTACATCCATTTATCACTAGGCAGGCTACCATCATTCATCATTCCGCAAAATCAGGGTAAAAACCACAGCAGTAGACGGCAGATGGCAGGCAGTTAATCAAATGCGAAAATGCGGTGCAAAGTTCATTTTTGTGAACTTTTTTTGTGCACTCTCCTGCTGCAGGCAGCATCATGGAGCATGTGCTTAGCATTCGCATTAGCATTAGCATATAGTCCCCATCCCATCCTGCGGGATCGTGGTCCTTCGTCGTAAATTATGCAAGCCAAAAGGGGTTCATGCACTCCATCTTCATGGAAAAGTGGAATCCATTTATGTTATGCGGCAGGGTAGCCGCGACAGGCCTCGACACGCTCTCTCTCCTCCCGCCTTCTGTCTGTCTGTCTCTCTCGGATGCCGCATAATTTAATGGCCCCCGAGGAGAAGGATAAGGAGAAGGAAGTGTAGGCGAAACCCAAAGTTATCCACAAAAATTTACTTCCGCTTGCGCATAAATTTCCACATCAACATTCGGGCAATGTACATATGTCTTTTGTTTTTGCACTCTCGGCCATTCGCTTGTGCGCCAGCATAGTGTCTCATGTATCATGTTTCAGGCGTTCCTCGCGGCTTTCTGGGTATTACAATCGATACGTCAACTATCGATATAGACCAACAGGAATGCATTTCTGAGCATCTGATGCATTAATCATGTCCGTTCAACACCACTATCGTTGGAAATCCCTCACTGATCCCTGTGCGACAGCAAGGACTTCCAAATGCTGTGCCCTCCGCTGTTCCCTGTGATGGCAGTGGATGGAAATCCATTGATGATGCGGCACTCTTGAGTCACATTTCCGATGGTTTTCCAGCTTCTATCGTCTGGCAGTCGAACGAATGCTGTTGCAATCACAGGCTACCACATGCCACATCTTGTTGTCTGACGCTAGAACATTGTTGGCATGACACACATGTGGCACAAAAACACAGAGAAAGAGAAAGAGAATGAGAGGGAGAGGGAGAGCGAAAGAGATGCTTTCTTCATTTTTCATTTTTATGCAAATTTCCGCAATGCTCCACTCCGCAATCATTCTGCCGCCTCCCTCTTTGGCTGTCAGGCATTTGTCAGCATAAAGAAGACATCAGTAAGGGGGTGGAACGGGGGGAGGTATGGGGGTTGGGGGGTGGCGTGCGGGCGGTGGGCGGGGCCATAACATTATGCGTAAGCAAAAAAGACGCGCATGTTTGTTTTTCATGCATTTTACATGAGGCGACGCTGGCGCAGAGCATCACGTAACAATCTTCCCAGCACCCAGCACCCACCCCACGCGCCACAGCGCCACAGCGCCACAGTGCCACAGGATGTGGGCCATTGTGCAGCATCCAACTTCCGGCCTCATCTGCTCCTGTCACATCTCTAACTGGTTCATCACGATTAACAATTCGCTTCGCTTTCGCCCCCATCTCCGCCTCCTGCTCCACTCTGAAGCCTATCATCCCGTTCCTTTCATTACCCGTCTTTCCCTTTGTTTTTTGCAGTCTGGCATGGATGTGGGTCTGGTGTCAGTGCAACAGTTTGATGGCATTCATCGAGTACCAGGCAGGCAGGAAACTTTCGAGGCTGATCTGGCATATCCGCCATGAAATGAATGATAAACAAAAGCCAACAGGAGGCAGCAGGAGCCAACAGAAGCCAACAGGAGTCAACAGGAGTCAACAGGAGCCAACAGGAGCCAACAGGAGCCAACAGGAGCCAACAGGAGCCAACAGGAGCCACCAGGAGTCAGCAGAAGCCAGCAGGAGGCAGCAGATGGCAGCAGGAGCCAGCAGAAGCCACCAGGAGCCACCAGGAGCCAGCAGGAGGCAGCAGGAGGGAGCAGAAGCCAGCAGGAGCCACCAGCAGCCACCAGTAGCCAGCAGGAGGCTGCAGAAGCCAGCAGGAGCCACCAGCAGCCACCAGAAGCCACCAGGAGCCACCAGGAGCCAGCAGGAGCCACCAGAAGCCACCAAGAGCCACCAAGAGCCACCAGGAGCCACCAGCAGCCACCAGGAGCCACCAGAAGCCACCAAGAGCCACCAGGAGCCACCAGCAGCCACCAGGAGCCAGCAGAAGCCACCAGGAGCCACCAGAAGCTCCCAAAAGACACCAGGAGCCGCCAGAAGCTCCCAAAAGACACCAGAAGCCACACCAGGAGTCCTCAATAGAGGATCCATGATTGACTTGGCTTTACATACGGTGGGTATAGCCAGATCTGAGGGCGATCCAACGTATCCTTCCAGCGGCTTTCATTCATTAATTTCCGAATGAAATTTCAGAATTCATCATCATTTCCCCCTCTGGCTCCCCTCTTCTCTGATGACTTTTGATGGAGTCCCGGGTGACTACCCCTCCCCATCCCCCTCCCCCTACCCCCTCCCCACCGGGGCAAGGACTGAAGGAAACTCTGCGCCTGCCATTTTATGACCCGATTAGCTCTCAGGGGCCCAGAGCCGGGAAAAGTGGAGCAGCCGCTGCCAGAAGTTAAACATTCTTCCTGCCCCATGCTCCGTGCCCTGCCCCGTGCCCCGTGCCCCATGCCCCAGGGCCACTGTGTTGCAGAGGTAGCAAACTTTGGAGCTTAGCTTCCGCTCAGCAAAACTGAATCTAGAGATGGATCTGGGGAGCAGAGGCTGCGGAGGAAGGAACTGAATGAAAATGTTAAGCCATTTAGATAGGAAAACTGCCGAGAGATGAAACTTTGTGGACACCCAAGGGGGAGGGGTGGAGACACCACACGGGGCAAATAGGAAGAGGGAGGGCAAGGGGGAGGGAGACTCCACAAGAGGCAAAGAGCAACAGAAAGACAGGCGGAAAAAGTTTTGCAAAAGTAAATTAAGTGCAGAGAATCCATACCTACCACCCCCTCCCCCTCCCCCACCCACCCACACCCATACCCCACCAAACAAAAAAAAAAACAAAAAAAAAAAGAGAAGGAGAAGGAGAATTCTAGAGGGTATTCCCATAGGGATTTCTGTGTTAAACCAAAGCCGGTGTCGGTGTCGGAGCAAAGGGTTTTCGGTGGATTATCATCCACCGCTATCCCCCACCAAGAGGCTAGATTGTACGTGCGAGTACGAGTGTATCCCAAAAGGGCTCTAGAAAACGTCCTGCAAATGGCCAAGACATCTCTGGCAAGAACCAGACGATACACCAAATAGGAGATCCCTTAAAATATGAAACGGTTCGGAGACGGGCGGGCTGTGAATCGGTTATCCTATCAAAAAATCCATTTAAGAGTCTGGATGCCTAATCAGATCCCAGCGAGTTCTTGGATAAGTTTTGAACGGGTTTGAAATGGGTAAGCTTCGAAACGATTGCAGTCCCGTAGGTACATATATTCCGTAAACAAGATCTAAATCGAGTTTCAAACGGTTCTGAGAAGGTTCTCAAATGGTTCTGAAACGGTTCTGAAACAGTTCTGAAACAGTT